GCAAGTCGAGTGATTTTGGCCTTAGCTTAACCTATTTCTCGAATTTACCTACTTAAGCAATATGCCTGAATGTCACGTGGAGGTGTTTTCATTAGCCCTGCTCTCATTTTGTCCAGCGACTTTCATTCTACACGAGGAAATGTTAAGCTCTCTATGGCAATCAGACTTCCCTAACTTTAGCATTTCAATGGATACTTTGAAGTGGCGATTAAAGTTGCAATGGCCGTTAAAGTCTAAAATAGTTTCCTTGTCTAATCAAGTCGACTAATTCACTGAAATGACTGTGTGATTGTGTCAACTATAACGTTCTATTTCGTTTTTGAGAGAGATAAAGCAAAGAAAGGCGTTAAAATGCCACCATGAAGCCAGTCAATGCTCTCGTTTAACTCTCCCCACACTTGTCCTTTTTCCGCCAACCGCTCCCTCCTTAATGTGACATGTTGCTGTGCCACCTGCACTTCAAGGACGCCACTGTGCATTGCGTGTGTTTTGATCCACATGTGCTGAATGAAAGGACTGTCCCTTAGGACGATCTAACCACCTTTTAACCTATCCAAAAGCGTGGGCACATCCACTTAGCTCACTCGTGTAGACTCTTTAAGTTGCAATAAATAGCGACTCATCTTACAACATTCACCTACTTTCCTCAAAACAACAGCCTGTTGCCAAATGGAAGAAGAATTGTTTAACCTAGTCGAGAAATATCAACGTGGCTTATTGTAATTAATCAATGTGTTTGAAAACAAAGCGATGAAGAATGTTTTGAAATAAAATTTGATGACAATTAAGTAATGAGGTCAATGACGGCATTAGTCACCAAAAGTTACTGGGAGAAGCTCACATTAGCCCAATTGCCAAGCCGATAAGCATAGTCGCAGAAATTCCCGGGATCAAGTCAAATCCGCCAGATGTGAAGAATTTAGGGTTGGGGAGGTGTTCGTTAATTGTCGGTATACTGGGCACCTCTGCTGATCTGCGCGACTTCTTCGGCTTACGCAACACATGCGTCGGTTCCATGGAGGTGTAAATGGTGGACGAGGGTTCTTTCGTATTAGTAGGCACAAAAGTCGTTGTAGATGCTTTGGTTGGAGCGAGTGTAGAATCAGAGTAAGTTATTGTGGCTGGAGTGTGTGAAGGAGTTCTATCATTTGCCTCTTTCATAATAATTGGAGCAGTGGAGGCAGGTCCATCAGTAAAGGTGCTGTTTAAGCTCGATTTCGACGAACTTGTAATGATGCGTGAAGGAGTCGGTCCCGACTGATAAGTTGAGGAATGCGATGTGGAGGAAGTACTTGCAGGAGTTGAAGCAGGAAACTTAGTCGCAGCGATCGGATAAACCGAAGAGGATTGTTTTGTCATGATGATTTCAGGCACTATAGGAGAATCGCCTGTTGTAATTAGAAAAGCTGTATTAGAAAATATATAGAAGTGATGATTACACGATTAAAATCCGACTCTTCAGACGCGGGAATTACGAACGTTAAGGTTGAGGTTCTCACCATGATCCACTTTGGGGTGGAGGTAGAACTGCTAGTATGGGCGACTGTAAAAGCTGAAGGAACTGTTTTATGCGGAAACAGCTAGACCATTTTTCTTCGCCCAACCAATTCGCTTTTCAAGGCCTCTTGACTCGCATCAATGCAATTTTAACTGTCATCTATGTGCTCCGCGCCACAGTGATTTTTAAATTATAGCCTCCAAGTTTCTGGGAGTAAATGACAGAAAATGCTCTAACACATTTTTATGTCGGTAGCAAAGACCTCCTAGTTAAAATTTGTCAACAACACCTTCTACAAAACCGGAAATCTTTATGCTAAAAGTTAAAAGTTGTGTAGCATAGACTGACCTTGTACCGATGGTGGCGTGATCACTGTTGAAGGCTTACTGAA